AGATTTTAAAGGCATGTTGTGCATTTTAAATGACCACACATGACTCAGTGTCTGTCAAAAAAACCTTCACCTTTAGTTTATATCTTATGAACTTGGGACTACTTTAACTTGGAAAGTTGTAAAAGGGTGTTTTTTCTCTTTGTACTCCTCTAAGTGTAAGTTAAAGAGTAAAGGGTCAAAACCTCAAACTTGGCTTTTTTTTTTTTTTTTTTTTGAGACAAGTTCTTGCCATGCAGCTCAGGCTGGCCTTGAGCTCACTTGGTAGCCCAAGCTGGTTTCAAATTTGTAATGATCCTCCTGCCTGGGCCTCCCAAGTGCTGGGATTGACAGGCATGCACCACACCTAGCAAATTTGGCTTTTTGATCAGTAGGGAAAATGAACAAAGGTCCCATCTAGCAATTTACAGACCTTCTCTCTTTCCCCCTTCTGTTGTTGTTTATAGTGTTAACTAACAGGAGGACGGGTATTCAGAGTAACTTAAAAGTATTCCAGGAAACCCTGTAATGATTTAGATAAGGAAAAGGAGTGATAGCCTCTAGGGAAAATTCCAGGTGACGAGGGCATTCGTCTTACAAACCTAAAGGTAAGAAGATGGTTATTAAAATTTAGCATGGAAGAGTACACTCTGCTGAATATAACTGCTTTATATATTCTGTATGTGTGCATGTCTGCCCGTTCATCTGTGTTTAATAACTGGTTAAAGTACTCATAGCTGCTTCAATAGAAAATAGTTTTGAGAGGCTGGGGATTTAGCTCAGCTGCATAAGCGCCTGCCTGGCAAGCACTTCGATCTCCGGTACCAAAAAAAAAAAAAAAAAAAAAATAACGAAAAAGAAAAAAGAAAAGAAAGAAGAAAATATTTTTGAGTTCAAATTTTTTTTTAAAGGAAAGAATTTCTGGCTGGTGACGGTGGCCCATGGCTCGGACGGGGTACCGTCACACCAGTTCCCTTCCTTGGCAGCCTTGCTAGTGGTCCCATGACAGGTGCCCCTGGCTGAGGTCCAACTCCTCTCCCAATCCTAGTGGCCACTCAGTGTGGGCCTTCAGCTCCCCACTGGAGGGCTGGGTCCCACTTCAGCCCAGGACACGGGGTCACCAAAGGCCAGGAATCACGACCTGAGCCCAGAGCAGAGGTGGGGGACACCCTGGGGGTGGGCATCAGCCTCCCGGGGGCATTGGGGACCGGCCCTTGCTGCCTGCATCCTATTGTCCCCGGCTATGGCTGAGGACAGGGAGTGGTCACTGTCACCATGGCTCCTGCAAGGTCTGCTCATTGGCCTCGGCACCTGAAGTCATTTAGACTCTCGTCTGGTAAGAGCATGGCCAGGTTACACAGGAGCCTCGGTTTCCCTACGGCCCATGGACTCCACCTGTGATGGCCACGGCCCTGTCCCTTGTCCCTTGTCCAGGCAGCCCAGGCGCCATCCTTCGGGGCGTGAACATAGCACCCGTTGTCCTGGTGGGGGGATCCGAGGAGCTGGATGGGAAGAGAAGCTGGCAAGGCAGAAAGACAGTGTCCCAGCCCCAGCCGCCAGGCATCTGTCCTCCCTGCCCCATCCTGGCACCTACCCAATCTCAATGGCTGGAGAGCTTGCGGCACTCACCACATCCTCACAACCCAACTTCAGAGGGGCTGCAGAATGGGGTTTGTGCTAAACATACCCAGCTCATATCTGTACGGGCATCTCCCTGGGGTGTGCTTGGCTTTTCCTCACAAGAGCTGCTGCCTCATGATAACAACGTAGGTGCCTCAGCTCCAGCTATCATGCCTGTGTTGCAGCTGGGGGAAAATAGGAAGGCGCCTACGAGCCCCATTATCCCTCCCTTTCTCCTCAAGGCAAAATCCATCTTTTTAAATTTCATCCATTAGAAGGGTTTTGGAGTAGTAAGACCCTGAAACATAAACGAGCACTTCACTGATGCCTAACAGCACTGAGTATAATTTCAGGGGGATTGGCTGTTCTTATGTCTTCTTTTGTGATGGCCTACTGAAGTCTGGATCATGGTTAAATTTAGCTTTATTCTTTCTTTCATTATTTCCCGGGGATTGAACTCATGACCTCGTGCTTGCCAGGCAGGTGCTTCCTCTACTGAGCTAATCCCCAAGCCTGGTAATATCCTTTCCCCCCAGCTCCATGCTGTGCGTCTCTTTTCTTTTTTTGGAGAGGTTCTTGCTGTGTTGCCCTGCTGGCCTTGAGCGCTTGGGCTCGGTGATCCTCCTGCTTCTGTCTCTCCTCGGAGCTGCTGGGACTGAGAGGCTACCACGCCCGTGAATGCTGGTTTTTGATGGTGTGGTCAGATACACAGTTTTCAGGCACAGGAAGCCGGTTCCTTGTGTTTTGCGTGCGGTGGTTTCTTCTGAGCGCGAGGCCAGCCTTTTCAGGAGAGGGCGCTGGGTGCTGCTGTAGCCTGGGCAGCTCAAGGACCCAGATCCCGGGCCCTGACCGCTCCCCTCCTTTTCCCCTCCCCTCTCCCACAGGCTCCCTGAGCCTGGATTTCTTGCTTTCATGTCGTAATGGATTAAAAAGTCGGATTCAGACTGTCGCCTCCTCCCCAAGCTCTTCCTCTCCTTTAGCCGTTGGCTCCTCCCCGTTCCTCCACCCAACCGGGAGCCGCTGGTCCACTGCCCACTGCTGGTTCCCAGGCGTCCTCCTGCTGGGGCCACAGAGGAGCACAGGCCTCCGCTGTGTGCCCTGGTATCCGGCCTGGCTCAGCGGTGGCAGGGTCGGGCGGGGCTGGCATGCCTGTAATCTCAGCACTCCAGGAGGCTGAGGCAGGAGGATCTCAAGTTCAAGCACTTGGGAAACTTAGTGACTCTCTGTCTCTCTGTTTCTCTCTATTTCTGTCTATTTCTCTTTTTCTCTGTCTCTCTCAGTCTTATCTCTGCCTCTGTCTCTCTGTCTTCTCCTCCCCCCGTCTCTCTCTGTCTCTCTTGGTTTAAGGCCTGGGATGGGCCTGGGTTCCACCCATAGTACCACATAAATAGGTCAATAAATAGCGAAACTTGAAAGTGTTTGGGGATGTAGCTCTGTAATGGAGCCCTTGCCTAGCATGTGCCAGGCCCTCAGTCCAACCTCCAGTACACACACAAAAGACCTTTCTTCTTGTTTGTTTTGTTTTTGAGCCAAGGTCTTACTATGCACTCCAGGCCTTGAACTTGCTCTGTAGCCCAGACTGGCATGAGCCTACAGCGATCCTCCTGCCTCAGCCTCCTGGGAGTCCTGGGCTCACAGGCGTTCCTGGCCACACCAGGCTGTTCTTCCTTTTGAAGGCGGGGGTCATGCAGGGGCCTAGGGACCAACACCTTATCTGTCTGTGAGCCTGTAGGGGGCACTGGGGCAGTGGCCCCACCCGGCCACGGGAGCAGCACAAGGGTCCTGTTGGACCGTCACCACCTCCACTGCAAGGACATCCGTGCCCGGCCAGAAGCTGCGACCCAGTGGGGTGCGGAGGATGTGGGCATTGGGCAGGAGCCTGGCACCAGCCCGGCCACCCCTGCACCCCTGGGCGCCCCCCGCCCCATACTGAGCCTCAGCTTCCCAGCCACCCAAAGAGCTGATGGCCCGGGAACGAAGCTTTGCAAGAGCGCCAGCGGGGACACGAACCAGGCTGCGGGGCAATTGCAGGGCACAGGCGGCTGGCATGTGCGGGTCTGGGTCGGGTTTGATTCTCTTCCGCTGGTGCTGGAGATGGAACCGGGGCCTCATATGTGCCAGGCGAGCCTTTGCCTATGAGACTGCACCCCTAGTTCTCTTGGAGACCCCTCTCACTTAGCGGTGAGCTGCCCCAGGCTGGCCTGAAACTTTGGATCCTCCTGCCTCAGCCTCTTGGGATGCTGGGGTGAGAGTCCCAACACATGCCATTTTGTTAGGACCAGGCACTCTCTCAGCCAGGAAATTCAGTGTGGGGCACCATGGGCAGCAGGGCCTTTGAATGCCGGTGACCAGCGGCCCAGAGAGGCCGGGCTGAGCCTGATATTGGTTCTCTTGTTAGTGTCTCCCCAGGCTCATGGGGCTCATTGCTGTCCAGCCCTGGTCACAACTGTGTGACCAGGTCACATGCTTGGCTGGGAGGCCTGGGATGATCTGGGCCCTGTGCTGGGGCTTTGTATACTTTGTCACTCAGGGGCAAGTGTGACAACACGAAGGCAAAGCTCCAGCTCCAGACAAAACCAGTGTTTCTCTCCGGTCACAGAAACCATGCCCTGGGAGGGGCAGCACAGGTCAGGGAGCAGCCCCCCCACATTCTCCGGAGCGCAGTTCTCCTCTCTTCCTGCTCTCCCAGTCACATAGTCTCTGCCTCAGGGTCCAAGATAACTGCTTTCATTCCAGCCATCAAGCGTACATCCCAGCCAATAGGAAGGAAGGAAGGAGGAAAAAAGAGTACATTCTCACCTTAAGACGTTTGTGTTTCAGAACTTCCTGGATCCTTCTACTCATCTCCCGGGGCTGAGGAAGCAGAGCCAGTGACTGGTGAAAAATGAGTCCTCTGTGCTATGCAGACCTATTTTCACTAAGTTCTGACAATCTTTACATTTTAAATCCTACGTGTTTTTCTTGTAGCCTACTTGGGCATTACGGACTCCAGCTGGGACGTGGGAAAACCTCTCCGACCTGTTCCCATCCCCACGGCTCCCTCAAAGTGGATCCCGGGGCAGCAGCTCTGCTTCTCCGGTGTGGGGTACATCTTGACAGACATTTGTTGAATGAATAAGTGAATGAAGGAGTCAGTTGTTTCCATGTATTAACTTTAGAACCTTGGGCATTATTTCACTTTCCTGGCCTCAGTTTCCTCCTCTGTGGAATGGGAAAATGATTTTAATTTCCCAGTGTGCGCGCATGTGGAGAAGGCTGAGTACAAAGCCAGCCATTCCAGGGTCTCCTTCCCAGTGGGCGGCCAGGGTAGTGTATCCCGCCCCGGCGAGGGGGTGCAATGTCGCTGGTGGCCAGCAGGGGCCGCAGCGCACCGGGCTCTGAAGCTGGAAGAAGCATCCAGCAGGTGCAGGAGGCCGCAGGGCTCCTAGGCCAACGTCACCCAAGGGTTTGCTGGCCACAGACACCGAGGTAGGAACGCACCTCACCGCTGAGCTACCGAGGGGACCTCGCCAAGATGGAAGACTTGAAAAGTCAGCCCGCAGAATGGGAGGCAATGTTTGCACACCGTGTGTCTGGTAAGGCAGGGCTGGATCACCCAGCTCAGGGGAGCTCTGGAAGCTCAGCACCAGAAAGACAGACCCTGAGGCAAAGGCAGGCGGAGGATGGAGCAGGCGAATCTCCAAGAAGTAGGTGCCGGGAAAAGGTGCTCGGCGTCACGAGGCACAGATAACTCGGTGCCAGGTGGGACCCTCGGGGGTAGCTGGAATAGAAGAAGAAGGCATGCAAAAGAGGGTTAGGGCTAGGGCTAAGGTTCAGGTTGCAGGAGGGACAGAAAGTGGTGCAACCGTGAGGATGCAGTCCAGGGCTCAGACACGGTGCAGCACAGTCACCTTTTGTCCCGGCCTTGGATTTATCCGCATGAAGACATGGGGGTGCGAGGTAACTACTGTTCACGGTCCCCTCCAGATAGGAGCAGCCCCAGGCCCTCAGCTGATGGGAAGACAGCAGGAGGTGGTACACCAGGCACCATCAAAACGCACGGTGGGTGGACATTTAAATCTTAAAAGGTATTGCAGCGGGGGACATTCTGCATGGGCCTCCCTCAGAATCCTCCCCTGGCGTCCTTCCCGCCCCTTCCAGAAGTCCCCTTTCGTAGGTGTCCTCAGCTGTGCTGTCACCCTGCCTGGATGGCCAGAGTCAAGCCAGACCATGTTCCTTCCACCACCATTGTGATTCAGAGCCAGGAGTCACCCCGTGGCAGATGCGGTGAAGGGGGCGAGGTCACACTGTCGTGTTTCTGTTGGGTAGAAATTGCCATCCATCGAAGGGGTTAAGCAAAGCGGGGTGACCCAAAGTAGGATTATCATTTAAAGTTTATTGCAGTAAAAGACAGATGGCCACTAACCCTCCCCAAATACCCCCCTTGTTTTGAGCATACATCTCATTCTTGGCAATGCGTCTTTTACTGTAGTAAGATTTAAAATAATAATATCATAATAACAATAACAATAATAATTCCCCATACTTTTGATGGCCCCTGTGCCCGTTCAATGGGATCTTATTCAGCAAGAAAGAGGAACGACCGTGACCCTTTGCTGAACACAGCGAGTCTGGGAAACAGGAGAAGAAAGAGGCCAAACACAGAAGGCAACATGTCACGTACTCCACGGACATGGGAGGTCCAGGACTGGCAGTTCCGCCTGGCAGAGAGTAGGGTTATGGTAGCCGGGGCTGGGGATACTTGTGAGCAGGGCGTATCCTTCGGGGAGGTGAAAACTCTGGACTTAGTGGCAATGGTTTTGCAATCTCTGGACTGCACTGACGCCGCTGACCTATGCACTTTAATGGCATGTAAACTATTTCCAAAAGGCCCCGGTAGTGCGAAGTTCTGGAGGATGAGCCAGGGCGCTGTCAGCAGTTATGGAGCTGGGCTGTGTGGTCAGGGACCTGGGCTGTGCATCAGGGAGCCACGCACGCGGTCAGGGAGCCGGGCTGTGTGCCAGGCAGCCAGGCCATGTGGTCAGGGACCTGGGCTGTGTATCAGGGAGCCAGGCCACGTGGTCAGGGACCTGGGCTGTGTGCCAGTCTGACCTCCATCCAGATGCCTCTGTGACCCTTGAGACTCCCTGAGAATGCCTGGACCCTGGTTAGCATCATCTGTGTGTTCGGGTGGGGACCTCTGACCTGGTCTCCTAGTACTGGGCCTGAAGGGTCTGAGGGGTACAGGCAGGCCGGGATCCCCAATGACCTCTGCCTGGAGATGGGCCTGTTGGGAGTGCCTGGTGATGGTGGATGGGCCTGAGGCCCACAGGGACCCAGACATGGACTGCAGGCCGAGCAGTTCCAGCCCCGCCTCCTTCCCTTGGACGGGGCCCGGAAGGGTCATACAGCCCAGCCCCGATCTCGATCTGCTTTGCTCTCTGGGGTCTTGTTTCCTGGCCACATGGAGGTAGGGAAGCTGGCACTTTGTGACCCAGCCTGAGCCCTGGCTTCCTCCAAGCCTTTCGTGCAGCCGTAGGATCCCTCAGTGACCTCGTGGGGCTGCCAATGGGTCATTTTACAGAGGGAAACTGAGGCAAGAAGTAGGTTCAGCTTCACTCAGTCTAGGTCCTGACTCATAGCTGTGGCTGGACTGGCCCAGGGTGGAATTTGAATCCAGGCTTTAGGCCCAGCTAGAGAGGACCCCACTCAGTGGACTCACCTCCAGCCAGATCTGCCCTGCTGTGGGCAGGGTGACCCTTACAGTCAATTAGACATGGTTCCTCGCAGGAGGGAACTCACAGATGCCCCTGAGGAGGGACAGCTTTGTGGAGCACTGTGGGCACAGACAAAGGTCGTGGGAGCCCTGCAGGGATTTCTGAGTCAGCTGCTGGCATCAGGAGGAGGAGAGAGAGGGGCCTTGGGTCCCGGGCCAGCCATGTCCTCCAATATCCAGCAGTGCAGCCACTCCCTGGGTGGCAGCAGTGATAGGACCACAGGCCAGCTGGTAGGGAGCTGGGGTGAAGCCCATGCATCCCAAATCCTCAGCTCTCCTCCATAAATAGTGATAACTTGGGGGCACCCAGAACTCTTCCCTGGCCAGCACCCAGGATGCCGACGCCTCCTGTAGCCTGCGAGGAGGAAGGAGGAGGGTCACTGCTGCTGGACAGATGAGGTGAGGCAGGCAGACATGAGCCCTGGGCAGCAGGCAGAAAGGAGATACAGAAGGGCCCTGACCAAGAGGACGTGGAAATTGCCACTCTTCCTCAATGGCAAATTCAATTACCAGCTCTGCGGGCAAGGCTTTGGGGAACGGATGCTCCCCACCTCGCTGGTGGAGGGGATGCAGTGTGAATTGGAACAACCTCTCCTGGGGCAGTTTGGTGAAATCTGTCACAATTACAGCTGTGTAAAGCTTTTGACACCAGCAACCCCACTGCAGGGAGCTCATCCTTCAGACGGTCTTGGCATGAGCCAGGCACAGGCTGGGGGCTGCAGGATGGGCTGGGGTATAATCCAGCCTGTGTGCACGTTGAACTAGTATACAGCTGTCAAAACACTAAGGATCATCTGTGTAGACTGGGGTGGTGAGACCTGCAGAACTCGGCATCCAGCGAGCAGCCATTCACTGCCTTAGATGAACCAAAGGGAGGAAATCAAACCCTGCACACCCACAGACCAGGAATTGTCTGTTAGTGGGTATAGACTGGGGAACCGGGTGAGGACACAGAAGGGATGCCCTGTATGCTTTCTGTCTTTGAGCTATGTCACTACCACGTGTGTTAGAACCTTAGCAGTAACGACAATCGTTTAAAGATTTTTTTCCCAGCCTCTCTCAGGCTTTGGGAAAGGTTTATAGCAGGTGTTCAATGCAATGTACTCCTGGCGGCACCAATATAGCTGTGGCTAGCTATCCACAAATACTGGAATAACACAAGGAGAAAGGGAACAGGATCAATCCAGACAGGATCAGCTGCCTCGCATTTTCAGTATATTTTCTTGCAGTTCTTTTTTTTCAGAGATCATTTCTTTACCAGCTCTTTATTTGTGTACTTTTATTGCAGTTCTCTGATTTATGGAACTCTTGTCATGCCAGGGATCCAACTCAGAATGTATCGGTCTGACTGCTGCGTAACAAATGAACTTAACACTTCAGAGCTTAGGACAAGAAAGGTTTCCCTGAGCTCAGTTCACCGGAGGATGGGGTGATCCCACCTCCCCATCCCAGAGCCTCAGCTGGCTGAGTGAAGAGCAGCCTCCGCCACCACCTAAAGAAGCACAGGTACTGAGAATACAAAATGATGTCGGATGCCTTTGAATTCAGACTGCCATATCGAGCAGGGGTTCTGATGGCTCCTCGTGGCAGGCAGGCTGGGGGGAGCATTTGGTGCAGAGAAGCACAGCTTTGGGAGATGCTGAGGTGGAATATATGGCCCACCTGGACCAGAGGAGACAGACATCATCATCCCGTACTCACTGCAGGGTGCAGCAGCCGATGACTTGTCGCTCACCAACAGAAACGAGGCACACACTCTGCAGTTTGCAAACCTTCAGAAAGGCCCTGTGGCTGTCTCTGCCTGCTGCCCCACCTGATGAGGAGACACCTTCTACCATCCTGGGCTGGATCTAGGCTCGAAGCTCACCTTCTGGCTTTTTAAATAGCTCGAGAGCAGCATCTTTACGCCTGGATCTTTGCTTTCATTGAGGCCGGCCTGTGCCAAGCCAGACTCTGTTGGAAGAAGAGTGCTAAATTCATGCTGAAGCTGTGGAGCAGCCTCGACGCTCCCCAGGAGTGCACAGAGACCAGAGCGTCTTCTTCTGGTCTTCTTCCGTGATGCATTTGGCAGTGTGGTATTTTCCATGTGGATTCCATGAGCATTGTGTGCATTAACAGATGGCTTTGGACCCTTCTCTTTTTTTTTCTTTTTTTTGGTACCAAGGATCAAACTCATGACCTTGTGCTTTCCAGGCAGGTGCTTACTCTGCTGAGCTAAATCTCCAGCCCCTAGACCCTTCTCTTTCTTTATCCCAGGAATCGGGCTCAGGGTCTTACGCTTGCCAGGCAGGTGCTGTGCAGCTGATGAGCTATATCCCCGGCTCCTTTGGACCCTTTTCTTAAGTACATGCCTATCTTTTAACTTTCTTTCTTTCTTTTAACTGAATCTTGCTATGTTATCCAGCTTGGCTGTGAAATGGCCTTAGGAGGTCCTCCTGCCTCAGCCTCTCAAGTAGCTGAGATCATAGGTGTGCTCCTGTGTGCCTTAAATTTTTTTTTACTAGTTTCTTTTTTCTTTCTTTTATTCTGTCTTTTCTCTCTCTGTCTCTCTACATCTTTTTTCTTTTCTTTCTTTCTATTCTTCCTTCTTTCTTGTTCTGGGGATTAAACCTAGCACATTCCACTAAGCTAAATCCCAACTCATTTTATTTATTTATTTATTTTTATCTTGAGAGAAGTTTTCACTAAATTGCTAAATTGTCCAAACTAGGCTCAAACTTGAGATCTTCCTGCCTTTGCCCCTCAGAGTGCTGGGATCACAGGTGTGGCCTCTCTGTTTCCCTTTTTAAATCCCTCATCCCCCCTCCTTGTGTTCAGAGACCCATCCACTAACCCGGTTAATGCTCACAGGTTACTAACTCTTCTGGGTTAAAATGTGACCTGCTTGGACCTGGAGCAGGGGCCGGGCCTGCCCTGGCCTGCAGTGATGTGCTCGCTATGTCCCCTTGGGCAACTTGCTTTTCTTCTTGGGGGTCTCAGTTTCTCCATTGTTAAGAGGCTGGAGTGTCCCGATGAGAGGTCTGAGGAGGGCCCTTAGCCAGGCTGAGGGCTGCCTCCACCTCTCACCTCTGCCTTCCGCCTGGCTCTCAGTGCTGTCTGATCTGGCCAGCTCCAGCTTCCCCTGCTTCAGTCCCAAGGCCCCCTGGCCACTGCCAACACCCTGATGCTCAGACACCCAGGCCCAGACCTGCCCCTGGTGTGGAAAGCACCAGGGCAGGGGCTGCTGGGAGCAGCCTCGTTCTGACCTGCGGTGCTACTGTGTTTCTGCTCTTGTCTTCAAGTGAAGTGTGCTTCTGGTGGTCAGTGATCAATTACCTTGTAAAACAGTGCAGTTGGTAAGATCCTATGTATGTGTTCATCAGAGGGGCCATTGCCATGGTTGATTGATCAGTGATTTCGTTCTTGGACTCACAGCTCATGGAAAATCTTTTGGAAATGGAGGTTCTTGTTCCAATGGCTCCATGAAGCTGTGACTTCCTCACTAGGTCTGCAATGACGGCAGAGTGTGGAAGGACAGAGTAGCATTTAGTGGGCACCTCTTTCACGTCCTAAGTCGTCCAGGGGACCTCCTGCCACTCCCTCCAAGTCCTTGTGCGGTGAAGTGTGTAACAGAAGAGCAAACTGGGGCCAAGAAGCTACAAGCTGTGCTGGGACTTCATGGAGATTCTCCGTGTGAGCAGAGCTGGTCTCCTGACGATTGTTATGGTTTGTGTCTAGATGTCCCCACAAAGCCCGTGTGGTTATAGGTGGGGCTTTTCAGAGGTGGCTGGATCTAGGGCATGTGATGCTGGGATTAAAGCTGTGATAATGGGATTAATGCTGCAATGCTGGGATTAAGGGTGCCTCTCCCTGGCTGTGAGTGTCACCGACCTGGGTGCCCTGGATAGAACATAAGTGAGAGAAAGAGAGCTATCACTGGTTGCTTGCTGCTGCTGCTTCTGTTGCTGCTGCCTGTCTTCTGCTGCATTCTGCCTGCTCTGTGATGCCCCTCTGCCAAACCCCACTGCCTTGGAGCCTGCCAATTATGGACTGAAACCTCTACAAACTATAAGGCAATATAAACCTTTCCTGTAACTTTGGGTGTTGGATAGTTTGTCTCGGCAACCAGAAAAAGAACTAAGGCAATGATCAAGGCCAGGTAGGTGGGGCAGCCAGCTACCCCTTTGTCTGGGGGCAACCCCTCCTGCAACCGCCGGCCCTTAGATCCAAGGGACACCTGGCCACTTCTGACACCCAGTGTGCAGTCTGTTCACTGTGATTGGCCCAGGAACAGTCACCTGACCTAAATCAGCCAATCAGAGTCCCTGGGAGTGCAGAAGACTGTGGTCATCCTGAAGCTGCTAGCAGCTGTGGGCACCATCTTTAGGAGAGTCAAAAGAGCGGGACATCTCATGGAAGGAAATTGAGGAGGAGGAAGAAAGGCTACATCCAAACGTGGCCCTTGACCACCTGAATCCAGCTGCCGGCAAAACAGTTGCAGCTCACCAGATTTTCCTGCATATCCATCATCAAGTTCCCTTTTTGATTTAAGCCATTTTGTGCGGGTTCTTTGTCACTGGCAAGCAAGAGACTCCTGAGAGGTGCGCTGTAAGGGAGAAGACGAAACATACCCTAGGCAGCGTCTCTGCTGCTGAGCTCAGAGTCTGCGAGTGGCAGGGATTGGCCTACAGCTTTGTGTGCATCCCGCATTTGAGGAATAACATGGGCCAGACCCAAGAGGAGATGGAGCCACTAAGACCCGAAGGTCCTGATTGCATCGTGTGTAATGTGGAGAGAGAGGAAGCAAAAAGCAAAAAAAGGCCCGGGTACCGATAAAAAGGAAAAAGACAAAAAAAAAAAAAAAAAAAAAAAAAAAAAAGGAAGACATCTTGCAACTTTTCTTGTAGGTTTGGAAATCTTCAAAAACACAAGTTGAGTAAGACAAAAGCAAAACAACCTATGTTCCATCCCATGCTGGCAAACAGTGGATAGTGTTGGGGAGCTGCCATTTTGGGAGCCCCCATCTTCCATGTACCAGAGATCAGTTTTCCCACTGGTGAGGCTAAAGAGCCAGGTGACCTGTTGGATCAAGCTTGGGGGCCACTGCCTCAGTTTACATCTGCCCTGTGGGTGCCCACATATGACTGTGGCAGGTGGTGGATTGTCACAGAGCATGGCGTCTTCCCTTCTAAAGTTCAGAGGCACAGTTCCTCCCTCGTGAGGTGTTCGGGGCTCCTTACATCAGCCTCTGTGGGTGAGGCCTATCTTCCCTGGCCCAGAGGTGCTGGTTAGTACCCTTTCCGGAATGCTGGCACCACACTTCCTCTAAGCAGGCATCCAGAGGAGACCAGTGCACTGGCTGGCAGAAGAGTTATCTGTGTGTGTGTTGCCTCTGAGGACTCTCCACGCTTTATTCTCTGAGTGCTGCCCCCATCTACCCATCTGCACTGGGCTGGAGGAAATCACCATCTTCACCTGTATGCTGGGAGGGGTGCACCCACCCATGCCTCAGGGGATCGAGCCAACAGCAGGAGAGTTCCTATCTGGGCCTATCCCTTCCCTAGCACCCACTTAGGTCCTCTCTGGGTCACTGCCCTGTGCCCACACTGGGGACCTCATTGGAGATACCCACTGGGAACTTACTCTCCAGATGCCAAGACTCAAATGAGTCTCCTTGTTGTAGTTTGTATCCAGATATTCCTCCAAGCTTCATGTACTCAGAGGTGGGGCTTTGGGGGTGATTGGACCATGGGATGTGATATGCATTAGTAGATTAGGTCACTGTTGAGTTTATAGCCAAATGTGATGTTGGGAGGTGAAAGCAGGCTGGAGGAAGTGCTTGCTGGGGAAGCACTGGAAGGTCCTGGCTCCCTCCTCCTCCCTTGATCTCTCTCTGCTTCCTGCCTGCCATGCCAGGAGCTGTTCCTCCTCTGTGATGTCTCCTCTGCCCTGCTGCCCTGCCTGGGAGCCAGCCGACTGTGGACTAAAACCTCTACAAACCGTGAGCCAAGGAAAACCTTTCTTCCTTCTTGCTGTGGGTGTCAGGTGTTGCATCTCAGCGATGAGAGTCACTAAGACACACCCAATTTTCTTGTGGTGGAAACTTAGTCTTTAATGCAGCAGTATTGAAAGGTGGAAAACTTTGGGGTATGAGTCAGGAAGTTCCACCCTACAAATTATCTAATCCTTTTGTATATTAATGGCTTCATGGATTGACGAGCCAGAGGAAGCGGCTTTGTGGTAAAGGTGCTCTGTTTCTGGCACACTTGGCCTTGTTTTGCCTGCCACTCGATGTCATGTTACAAGCTGATGAGAAGGCCCTAACTATTGGCTAGTGCCACCCCCAGAACCATGAGTCAAGTATACTTCTACTCTTTATAACATGCCCAGCCTCGGGCATTTTCTCTGAAGATGAACTGGGACATCAGACCACCAGAAGTGAAATATGGAGACAATGCATCCCCAGCACACACAGCTCAGGTAACGAGTTGAGGCCCATGGCAATCTGAAGGAAAAACAAAGGCATGGAATTGCTGTCCTTGAGCCGGTGCCTGCAGAAGCTCAGGTGCACATTTAGTAGCATGCTCCCTGGAGTAGAAGGTGGCCTTGTTGATACTGTGACCCTCAACATCAACAGCTGACTGCTGCCCCTCCTCCCCGCCGGCATGATTGGGAGGGTCTGATGGCCGAGCCCTCTGTGTGCTTTCCTGTTTTCATCACCCCAATAGAGGGATGGTGGCACCATGGGGTTCACACTGTGGTTCTGATGTCCTATTCTCTGCATGAGCAAAGTTGCCCTCTTTTTCTTATTTGGGAGTCATGTGTCTTCTTCTTTTCTGTTAATTCTCTTCTTGCATCCTTTGTCTGTTTTTCCCTTGGGTGGCTGGTTTCCTGTGTTCCACTTAGTACCAGGCTTTTTGTTGGTGACTTTGCAGTTTAAAAATTGTCCCAGGCCCAGGCCCGTGGTGCTGTCCTGTGTCCCTGAGCCCAGAAAGCCGTGAGGTTCCTTCGGAAGAAGACACTGTTCAGGTAAACTTCGATCAGGCGTGCGGTGTGGGGCTGCACCAGGAGTTCCTTGTTAGAGTCAACCCTGTGTCTGCCAAGAAGAGGAGGAAATTGGCCACTCCAAGCACGAGGCTGATTGGAAGGGCTTGGTTTCCCCTGGGAACAATCGTGCTGTATTTGCTGCTGTGAATAACAAGAACTGACTTATAGAAGTGGTTTCTGGATTGTATGTCCTTCTTAAAAGGCATGCTCACGTGGATGCTTTAGAAAATGACACTGTTTCATCTTCTTCTACCTTTTGATCCTGGACCCCAAGTCTCCTCTCCAGGCAGCCTCGCCCCCTTGCAGGCTGTCCTGGGATGTGGTCACTTTCTGTTGTGAGCAGTGGACTGGTGTCACAGCAGAGCTGACAGGTGACTGTGAAGGCCTCGTGTCTACCTGGGCACATCTTCAGTCTGAAAGAGCCGGGCCCTTCCAAGACAGGCACAGGCAATGGGGATTGAGCCCACTGGAAAAAACCCAGAAATCAGGCAGGCCGCCTTCACTGCTGAGTGGAAACCCGATCTGCACTCATGGAGAATAATGTGGGCCCCTGCTTCTCCAGGGGACTCTGGTGCTCCAATTGCCAGGTGACATGGAGCCCTGCTGGGTGCAAATTGGAAATTTAGGGCAGAGAGACCACTGCCAGTCCGGGTGTGAGTCATCCCTGCTCTGCTAGCTGAGAGGACAACACAGCCATCGTCAGAACTGCCCGGACAGCACATGTAGACACTGCCCCAAGGACCTGCCATGTCCACCCAGGGGTGCCAGCTCCAACCCCTGCCTGGATCCTTGCCACTTTGTCCACAGACTCTCCCAGTTTGTACCCTGAGCATGTCCATATCTGACCAGCCCTAGAATGTCCTGTTACAACAGGAGAAGAGGACTTGCCCTTGGCAAACTGGATGGCCCTTTCCATTGAGTAGCCATTTGCCTCTCCTGCTGGGAAAGCCAGGCCAAGAGAGCAGTGTGCCGTAGCCAAGGTAGGAATCTGCCCAGAGTCAGGGGAGCAACTTCCAAACCCATTCCCTCATCCCACACATACACACTTCACTCTCTCAGCAGCGGCAACAGCTGACATCTTTTGAGGTCTTCCTGGGCTGCTAAGAACATCCAGGGGACTCGTCCAGCGGCTCCTGCATAGCCTTGGAAGCTGGGGGCCTCCACTGTCCTGTTGCCTGATGATAAAACTGTAGTTCACAGATGTTATTAAATGCATTAGTTCAAGTTATGGCTTGCAGGACTAGAGTCAGGTCCCTGAGCCTTCATACCCAATGCTGTGCAGGCTGCTTCTCCCTGGCCCTCCCGCTTATCTGATGGCTTTGCCAGGGGTGCCTATCCACACCCTCTTTTGTGAAGATGCAGGCCAGGCATCCAGGGAAGCCACCTCTTCTTTGAAGCGAAAGCAAAGTGCAGAGTGAAAGTGTTCATGGGCAGCCTGTTGTGCTTCCTTCTAACCCTGCCTATTGTCACTTCCCATTATCTCTAACTGCTTCCTTGTGCCATGATAAAACTCTGCAAATGCCATTCACGTGGCGTGATCATATTTGATTGTGTAGGAGTAACATGGTTTGCTTAACCTTTTTCCAATTGCTGAACATCAAGATGGCTTATTATAAATAATCCTTCAGTGGACATCTTGATGTACTACCATCCCATGGCCAGTTGCTTTGTGCGTGCAAAGTTTCCCAGAGGTCTTGCTCCAGCCACAGCTCTCCAGAAAGCTGTGCCAATCTGCCAGGCACGAGGCACAACAGCGCTGCCAAGAGGAAACTTACACCACTGTCAGGGCTCCCCGGCAGTGACATTGTGGAAGGCAACAGCAGATGGGGCTGGACTGGGGGTCAGGCTGGAAGTCAGCAAGCGCCATGACTCACCTGCCTGCCCAAGAGGACAGAGCCCCAAGAGAGGAGCCTCACGTGACCGAGGGCTTAGCACAGAGGCTGGAGGACAGGCCAGATGGCAGCTGCTGGGCGGGGACATGTCAGATCCTCCTGGGCTCCCTGCCAGGAGCACACCTGCTGGGCGTGGAGCTCAGGCACCATGAGTGGCTGCCCTGTGCTGTGTTCCCACCTGGTAGCAGTGCCACCTCCAGGAGCCCTCAGGGTGATATGAGGCATTCCTGCAAAGCCTTAGCTTAGCACTCACCTAGTGTTGGCTATAATTATCCTCAGTGTCATTATGATCAGGAAGGCTTTAATGGGGTTCTAGTACTCATGGGGCTTGAAACCCAGCCCTGGTCCCTCAAAAATCCCTAGTTCCAATTCCTAATGCAAAAGCTGCTTGGTGCAGTTTGGAGCAGCCTGTCAGTGGAAGCTGGGCGACACCAAGATCTCACTATGTAGCTCAAACTGGCCTTGAGCTTGCAATCTTCCTGCCTCAACCTCCCAACTGCTGGGATTACAGGCAGGCCCCGCCTGTAATCCTGGCTGTACAGATTTCATCAGAGATCAGGAGTGGAAATCTCAGATACCTGCTCATCCCAGGACATTTAAGGGGCTAAAGCCTCATGATCCAGACCAAAACAAATAGGATCTATAATTGTATATGTAGCATGTGCCTACCCAGGTGCAATTAAATCCTAAATCTTCCCAGGAGACAAAGAGTTGAACCACATTTGCTTGTTTGCTTGGAGTTTGTTGAGCATCTCCTATGTGGACACCCACTGCGAAGAGACTCAGATCCCCTACAGCCGGTGTGGCGGGAATTCTATATGGGGAGTGACACTTTGCACAATGAAAAAAAATTGCTTTTTGGTGGTGGTGCTAGAAATTGAACTCAGGGCCTCAGGCATGTTAGGCAAACACTACCATGGATCTAGGCATCAGCCCTAAAACATTTTTTTTCTACTTTTTGTTTTACAAATGTTGTATGATGAGCATTTGATTTTAAACGATCCATACTCCCAGGTATGGCAGGACGTGTCTATAATCCCAGCAGCTGGGAGGCTGAGGCAGGAGGTTTGCAAATTCAAGGTCAGTTTGAACTATACAATGAGACCCTGTCTCAAACACATGTACAAACAAACAACAGCAACAAAAAATCAATATGTGTATCCAGACAATAAATTATTATTTGATATTAAAAGGAACAATGTTCTAATATACAGATAAACTTGGGAAATATTATGCTTAGCAAAAGAAGACACAAATGGTCACCTTCTGTGAGGTGACATTTGTATGAAAAGTCCAGACTAGAGAAGTCCATAGAAACAGAGAGTAAGAGAGTGTGTTGCCAGGGGCTGGGGAGAGGGCGGAAAGTGTGGGACTGCTAAGAGGGATGGGGCTTCCTTTGGGGGTGCTGAAGTTTTCTGAGATGATGGTTGGATACCACTGAGAATGGACTAAGAACTGTGTACTCTAGGGAATTACTTATAGGGTATGGATTATATCCTAATAAGGCTATCAAGAAAAAAACCAACACACGTTAAAATTTGGGAGGAAAGGACATGTTATCTTTTTAAATATATATATATACGAAACAAAAGCTGGATTCTAAAGCATGGTGCCACAGGGCACAGGGCATGCTGGAGATGTCCAGGTGCCCACTACGGGCAGCCGGTATACTCAGCCATTGTGCTAATTTAGTCCTTGGTGATGTGGCCTCTGTGCACCTTCTTTTCTCAAGGCTCTGTTCTTCACTTCTGAGTGACAGTCACCGCCTGGTCCTATACCATCAGATGGGCCAGGTATGGCCCAGGGGTATTGAGCCCCTCCCTCCATGTGCTGCCCAGTGGTGGCCTGTGCCTACCTCTGGCTGTCAGAGCAGTGAGATCCCCAGCATCTGTCTCTGGGTTGGCTGACTGTTTTCTTGGTGGTAGGACCTGGGGCACCAGCCTGCCCTTCAGGGCCATTGGAGAGCTGTGCTCAGCATCAAACCCTACAAAGACTGGGGCTCCAGGAATTGCCTGGAAGGAGCTACTCCAAGAGGCTTATACTGGTAAACTGCCCCCAGCAAACCCAGGGGAATGACACAGTCTGGGCCCTGGCATCGGGGCAGGCTCTGCTCTGCTGCTGGTCTCCCGCCAAGTGCTCACCCTGCAGATGGTGCCATGATACCTCCATGTGCCAGGCTTTCAAAGGACCTGGAGCCTCCTTGGGGCTTTGGGCCTTGCACTTGGACACCCCGGCCCCCGAGTCCTGGCCACACCAGAACCCTAGTCAATCTTCCAGGCAGGTAACGGGGTTTCCAGAGCCAGAGGATGCTAAAGTGCCAGATGTGACACCCTGGGTGGAGAAGGGCTGAGACGGGGCCATGGAAAGCACAGTGGTGAATACTCCCAGAGCTCATTGGGTGCCCCCTTACAGACAAGGAATGGGGGCACTGAGGCTGTGGGCGAGGCTGGATGGTCTCTGCCTTCCTCCTATACCTGTGGGTCCACTTTCTCTCCCAGTATGGGTACTTTTTCTTTTTCTCCTCTCTCCTACTTTCCCTTTTTCCTTTCCCCCTCCCCACTCTGTCCTCCCTTTTTCTCCCCCTCTTTCTCACCTTTCTTTCTTTTTTTTTCCTTCCCTTTTTTCATTCTTCAGTGGTGGGGTTGGAATCCAGGGTCCCACACATGCTAAGCAAGTGCTTCACCACTAAGTGACATACCCAGTCCAATAATTTTACTTTAAACAGCATTGTAAGAGCCAGGCATGGTGGTGCATACCTGTAATCCCAGCACTCAGGAGGCTAAGGCGGGGGGGGGGGGGTCATTGTGAGTTTGAGACCAGCATGGGCTACAAAGTGAGCTCAAGGCCAGCCTGAACTGCATAGTGACAACTGGCCTCAAAAAGACAAAAAATAAAATAAGATAAAATAAAAGGCATTGTCTGCCCTGCCAGGACTGAGTATCCGCTCCACTTATTCACCAGCACTTCCTTAGAAGACTGGTTTTCTGGTTCATGTGTCACACCTCGGAACATTTCTAATGGGATCCTGTCGTTGGAAGGAAACAGGGAAGATGTACCCCAATAGTACCTGGGACTGGGTCTCCATTTAAAAAGGCCGGCACCTGGTTGACCTAGTGAGCCTCAGTGGGTCCTGGTATGAGCAGAGGCAACAGGGCTGCTCCTGTCTCCCTTCTCCCACCAATGTTTCTTAAGCACCTACTATGTGGTGAAGCTGCTGGACACGACCATCATGCCCATTTTGCAGATGAGCAAAATGATGATGTGGTCCTGGAGCTTCATCTCCTGATGCAAGTGTGTGCCTGTCGGCGCCTGCTACCAGCTCAGGCTGGGGCACTGGGGCAGATGGACTGGGGCAACCATCTCAGGCAGGAACTCCACGGCACTGGGAAGCTGGGAAGTGTTAAGTCTTGAGAAGCTGGGGTGAGGGGTATGGGGTGGAGTCTTCATGCTGTGGCCTTGAGAAGTTATTGAACGTTGGGAAGTCTCTATGCCAGGCCTCAAAGTAGTCATCTGTGAGAGGTAGTGTCATTCATGCCCACCTGGCCAGGCCTTCGAGACAGCTGTTCTAAGCACCAAATGCAGGTGCTATACTATCATGCCCCGGGTCCCCACATCAGAATCACCTCTACAACCTCACAGAGCCTCAGGACAGCTAGCAAAGCTACAGGCAATGATTGTTTTCCTGGTCCTAGCACCAGGGGTGTAGTGGCTCAGAGATGTGCCCCGGCTAAGGGCACACAGAAGGTTCCATGGAAGTCCTGGCTTCCAAGTTCGGGTCAAAGAACCCTCAGGCTCCACCTGCTGGAATCCCAAGGCCTGCACCAGTGAGATTCTTTGCTTGGGACACAGGGATCTTGTCCAGTATCCCTTGGCTGAGGACTCTAATGGTCATGGACTGGTACCCGAAATGAGCCATGGGAAATGTGTCAGCAGGGCTGTGTGAAATCATCCCTAGGAGCTCAGCACAGAGTGTTGCATCAGAGACAGGTTCTCCCCTGTCCACCACAGCCTGCACGACTCCCCCTGACTTGTGGGTGTAACCATCCTTCACAGGATGCCAGTGTGGGTGGGCAGCAGCTGTGGGTGCTGATGAGAGTGGCTGGTCTTCTCCTCCATCACCAGGCAGGCATGTTGCCACTTGCCAACCACTGGGAACAGGAGGAAGCAGACTGTGGGCCCTGGTACATAGTCATTTCCCTCTTATCTTGGGGTTCCCTGGGTCAGGCCGGAGCATACTCAGCCCTGACAGACCCAGCTCAAGTCTAGGAGGAATTGGCAGCCCTCGGGATGGGCGAACCAGAATGACCAGTCCATTCCTCAGGGTTGGGATACCAAGACTTAGGAAGGCCTGGAATTTGCCCAAGGTCACTCAGAATGCAAGGGACACAGTTTGGGAGTCTTTAGAGTCCACAGGGACCAAGAGGAGTCTCACCCTGTGCCTTAACCTCCCATCTGGGTGGTGCAGCTCAGAGCCCTGCTTCCAAGGACACTCAGACCTGCAGAGATGGCACCTGCCATACTTTTGCTTGTGTGGGCTTGGTGCCCATGCCTATCTTGAAAGGCAGATGTGGGATTAGATAACATAAATTAACAGGCTGGTGCCAAATGCCAGCCCAGTGCCAGAAACACTGTTGACCCATGAGAGCTCTCTGGGGAGAAAGCCTTAAGTTGTGATGTTCACCGGGATTCTTTAGTGCAGCCCCTTCCAGTATCGTACCCACTGGGATCAGAGCCGGAAGATAGGTGCATGGTGGCTTTCCTGAGCCGTTTCCAACTGGCGCCAGCACTGCTACCAGTGCCCAGCAGGATCCCGGAAGTCCTGCTGCTCTGGGTGACAGGCAAAGCTCTCCTCTAGTTTGAAGGCTTGGCATTGCCTCTGCTGGCTTTTATATCATATGGGCTGTTCTGGGCTAAGATCTCCAGGGCCAGCTGCCCATGGACTCACCTTTGGCCCTAAAGGGCAGTGTGTATCTGAGGGTGTTACGCTGCGGGTGGGGACTGAAATGAGAGCACGCTGGGATCTCCTCTCCTGTGCCTCGGTTTCCTCATTTGGGAGAAGGTGCAGTGACTATGCGAGGTCACAGAGGGCTGGACGAGGCAAGGTGTTAGCTCAGGGCGGCGTCTGGCAGAAGACGGTCACCCTCACCGACTTCTGCAGGAAGGTTCCCAGATGACAGAAGCAGGGCTCATGGGGGGGGGGCAGAGGTCATAGAAGATTCCCCAAGAGGAGGGAGGAGGCAGAGTGGGGTGGTGTGGGGCGAGCACTGGAAACCTCGCTGTGCCCCATCCGAGGGATCCCAGGGTAACTGTCAGTCTCTCGGGAACTCTGGGATTGGAGGCAGATAATTTCCGCCTTGCCTGGCACAGTGATCACTGTTACCGTCCTTCCCGCCCAATAGTGAGGTCCTTACAGATCCTTGGAGTACAGGGAAGGCAGGAAGAACAATCTGAACCCAGGCCTTGCCAAACTCGAACTTGAACTTGGGTTCCGGAGGTGGGGCGCTCTGCGCCTTCTTCTAGCCTGCCTAGCCTGTCCTGCCACAGGTTCCCAAGTCTGGCACGGTGGGGCAGGGAGCTGCTGCTGCTTCCCGGGGACGAATGGGATCCTCCACAGCCGGCAGCCCCGCGGACCGCTCCAGAGAGCTTCAGAGCCCGGAGTCCAGCGGGCCAGAGACGGCCGCTAGCCGCTGCAGGTGGCCAGCGCGCCTGCAGCCAGGTGGGCGTGACAGGCCCCGCCCTGTGTGCGCCCGGGGGCGGGGAGAGCGGAAGATCCGCCCTCCCCGCGCGCCGGGTCGGAGCCGGTGCGGGAGCGGAGGCGCGCGGAGCCGGCAGGAGCACGCGGGAGCGCGGCCCCGCAGCGGCCTGGCCCGAGGGAGCAGACGCCAGAGCGGAGCGGAGCAGCGTCGCGACCCCAGCCCCAGCGCGGACCCCGCCCTAGCGCAGTCCAGGCCCCGGGCGCGGACACCCGCCTCGGAGCGCGGCCCCGCCGCCTCGCCGCCCCAGCCCCGGGCATGGACGGCGCCCGCGCGCCCTGTGAGTCCGGTCCCCGCCGCCGCCTTTGTGCGCCACGCGCCGCCGCCGCCGCAGCCCCCTCCCGCGCCCCTCCCGCGTCCCGGGCCCGCGCGCGTCCTTTGTGGAGCCACCGCCCGGCCGGTGCTTCTGCGTCCCCCCGCAGCCTCCCCCGGGACGGCCCCGCAAGCGGGCCCCCTGTCCCGGCCTCCTCCCCGGCCCCCGGGGACGCCCGGCGGGTCCTCCCGCGCGGGGTCCCGGACGCAGCACTTCCCCGGCGCGGCGGGCCGGGCAGGTGCGGCGGCAGCGGCGCTCACGGCCGTGTCCTTGGCCCGCAGAGATGGACGGCGATGGCGGCGGGCGCGGCGCCCCCTGCGCGCTGACGGAGGCCGGGCGCGGCGCGGGGCCGGCGGGCATGGCGGAGCCGCGGGCGAAGGCAGCGCGGCCCGGGCCCCAGCGCTTCCTGCGGCGCAGCGTGGTGGAGTCGGACCAGGAGGAGCCGCCTGGCCTGGAGGCAGCCGAGGCGCCCCCCGCGCAGCCTCCGCAACCCCTGCAGCGCCGGGTGCTCCTGCTCTGCAAGACTCGGCGGCTCATCGCTGAGCGCGCCCGCGGCCGCCCCTCCGCCCCCGCGCCCGCTGCGCCCGCCGCACCCGCTGCGCAGCCCGGCACCCCCTCGGACCCCAGCCCGGAGCCTGCGGGCGCCCAGGAACCCAGCCCGGATTCCATTGCCGCCGCAGCCGCCAAGGCCCCCGACTCGGGCCAGCGTGAGGAGGAGGGGGCGGCGGCCGCCGTGAGGCAGGAGGACGCCGGAGCCACCGAGGCGAAGCCGGAGCCTGGGCGCGCGCGGAAGGATGAGCCTGAGGAGCAAGAGGATGACGAGGACGACCTCAAGGCCGTGGCCACCTCCCTGGACGGCCGCTTCCTCAAGTTCGACATCGAGCTGGGCAGGGGCTCCTTCAAGACGGTCTACAAGGGGCTGGACACCGAGACCTGGGTGGAGGTGGCCTGGTGCGAGCTGCAGGTGAGGGCGCGCCACCCGCAGGTGGGCTCCCCGGGAGCGCCTCCTTGGGCCAGTCGCGGCTCCAACTCTGCGGTCTTAGGCGGCCCTGGGGATGGTAGGGGCGGCCGAGATCGTGTGTCATCCTCTGTGGGTGGCCGGCAGGACCCAGCGGCCGCGGCTGGATGCCTGCTGGGTGTCTGCGCATAGGTAGGGTTTGTTAGCTTCTTTAGGTAAGGCTGGGCTGTGTGGTGTAAACGTTCCCACTGCGCGGGGGGCGCTGTCGGCCCTGCTCCTCTTTGTAGCGTCCGTCTGTCCTCATAACCCACTTTACTGATCTAGTAGAGCCAAGATGTCGTATAGAGGCTTCAAGGCCTGTGTCACCGGGGGATTTGGAAGCCCTCTGCTTCTCTTAAACTAGCATCTTCCTGGATCCTGCAGTGTGGGTTGTGGTGGCCCTGCATGCTCTCAGGGGCTTCCTCTGACTCAGAGGTGAGACCCGAGGTAAGGCCCTGGGGTCACTGGGCGAGGCCTAAAAGCCAGATCTGTAGCATTGTGTGCTCCCAAGGTTCCGCGTGTGTGAGAGGTCTTAAAGCTAAGTCATCCAAGTGCCCCTGCATTTTTCCCTTCCTTTCCTCCTCCTCCTTGGATGCAGAGGCCCTGGCCATGAATTTTTCATAACCTTGCCCTCATGGTGGCTGTGTCAGCTGGGGCCCCCGGGAGATTATATAAATGGCAACCCTAGCTGTCCTGAGCCAGCCTCAGAAGGGAGGCCAGGCCTGTCACAGTGGTGTTTATGAGCCCTCCCTGGCTGGGAGGGGGCAGCTGTCAGGCTGGGGCCAGCATGGGAGCATGGGCTGGAGGTGTAAGCTACCCTGCTGGCCTGTAAAGTTATCCAGCCTTCCAGGGCTGATGCAGGCCAGGCAGGCCAGGGCAAGCTGGCTGCCAGGGCTGCTGGCCACGCTGCAGGATGCCTGCGTTTTTGGCCCAGAAATGGGATTCATGAGCTGTATTCTCCAGCCCTTGCAGGGTGAACTGCGTGTGCGTCCAGGCCACGATAATGTGGTGGGTGTCAGCCTGGCGTCAGCCCTTCTAGGACAAAGAGCCCCAGAGGTCTTGCTTTGCTTGCCACTGCCCCTTGGTTCTGCTATGCAAATGTGACTTTGCGTGACCTGGGCCAGGCCTTTGGGGTCTTTCTGGAGGGGCTGAGGTGCCTCCTTTCCCCTGCCCTGCATTTTCTGGGGTCACTGAGAGGTGGCCTTGATGGCAGGGAGCACAGGTGGGTGGGGCAGGGTCTGCAATGTGCTTCGTACCCTTCCTTGCTACATGAAGTGGGGGATCCGTGAAGGAGGATGGCATGGGCTTAAGATGCCCACCTCACTGCCCTTTACCAGATGACCAGCGTGGCTCTCCGGGCCGCCACTGCTGTTGCTGCCTATGCCATATGGGCGAAGGGCCAAGCAGAGGGGCTGCAGCAGGCTGGATGTGAGTTAGATCTCTGCAGCTTGAGCCTGCTGCTCTGGCGGAGGCACTGCAGGCGCATGTGACTCCCGGAGCTCGTTAATTCCCCTTCCCTGTAAGGCAAGGCCAGCCGTCTGTGCCTGCCCATGGTGGGCAGGGCGGTAGGGGTGGGGCCTGGCTTCTGGCCAGGGGTCTTTTGCTTCTTGGCTGTGGATAGGAGTGCGAAGTCTGGGGTGGCTTTGGGACTGTCGTGTTGTTACCTGCTTGGGACTCACCGAGGCCCCCTAGACTACAGGGAAACTGTCCCCACACGGGCTCCAAGAGGTACTGCCACACTTACCCGAGGCTAATGTGTATGCTTTGAGGTCACCAGCCTCTGGCCAGGCTGCCCTGGGAGGGTTTTACCTGATGGGGGTCTGGATAAGTTTCGAGGAGCCCCCCTGACTAAGAGCCTGCTGTTCCAAGCCTGTATTGGGAGCCTCCTCATTACCAGCCATGAAGTGGTGGGGACGTGAAGTGACCTTCTGAGGTCCCAGGGAGGAGGTGTCAGGGATGTTTTGGGATAAGGGAGGAGACACTGTCCTGGTTAGAGGGGGTGTGGCCTGGGCCAACTTTGGGCAGTCTTTTGAGGTCCAGGGTGTGGGACAGGGCTGAGCAGGGTGGGCTGGGGTGCATGGATCCTGCCTGTAGTAGGCTGCCCAGGTCTAGGTGGGGGTTGTGGTCACAGGGTCTGGCCTCACCTTCTGTGGTGCAGAGGGGCTGACCTGCTGTGAGAGAATGACAGATAGGTGGGCCCCTCCTTCAGCAGGCGTGGGGCTGCTGGGTCCCTTCTCACCCCAGGGTGAGACACTCATTCTGTGCTCGTCCCCAGCATTGCTCGGCATTGAGGTTGGGGTCCTGAGAGGCTGGGTTTACTCGTGGGGGAGGGAAGGTCTGTGGGGCATTGCCTTTCACCAGGGGAGCATCACGGAATTTCTCTAGGCCTCTGTCCCCCTCTTCGAGACCCCCAGGACCCCTCGGGCAAGTGTGGCCTCCTGTTTATCCAGGTGCCTGTGTGTGGCTGTTTCGTATCCCTGCTTGGTGGTGGTGTGGGGGGTAGGGGTTTGTGTGCACCCTGAGATCTCCTTGGAGAGCTGAGAGGTGTGTTCCCGCTGGCACTTTCTGGGGTTCCCTGCCAAGGGGCAGACACACTTCCCCTGTGGACCTGATTGGCAGGGTTTAGAAGACATCTGATTTCCCTCCGTGCCTCTGGGTTGACCAAGTACTGTGGGGAGGGAAGCAGGTCGTCGCTCCCTTAGAAGCTCCAGGGAGCCACAGCTGAAACTCGAACTGTGTTTTTTGGGGAGTGGGGGAGGGGTGACCATTTTAAAAATATTACCTGTTGTCATTGTTGAGCGAGTTTTTATTCCAGCGTGTTACAGCAGCAGCACAAGAAGAAAAATGCCATGCCCTGTCCTCCTTTCTCTTGTCCCACACTCCTGTGGCCATCCTGGCCAGCTCTGGTCCTGCGTGTGTCCCTGCTCCATCAGCATGCAAAATCGCTTAGCATCCCCTGTTCCTGCTGGGGGTGGCCGTCTGCCCGCTGTGCACACCTGGCTGCTTCAGGTTACAGTTCTGGGTCCCAGCTGGGCACCTACCTCATCTGCAAAGCCCAGTGCCAGGGGTGGGTAGCAAGGTTTAGACACATGCCTGGCACGGCCGCAGCACAGGGATGACAGGGGTGCCCTGCTTGATGTGGCCGTGCCACAGCAGAGTGGGGGGCCTGACGTGAGGGGCATCTGTCCACTCTTGGCTGATCTCTCCTGTTGATTGGTGCCGCTTGGTCCCATCTTTTTTTTAATTTTTTGTCTTTTTGAGGTAGGGTCTCCATGCAGTTCAGGCTGGCCTTGAGCTCACTTTGTAGCCCAGGCTGGTCTCGAACTCACAACGATCCTCCTGCCTCAGCCTCCTGAGTGCTGGGATTACAGGTGTGAGTCACCACGTTCATCGTAGTCCCGTCTTTTTGGCTTTAGGCTTCTGTGTCTTCCTCACTCCTCCTGGCTACACAGGTAGCCAGGGTGATGCTGAGTCATGTGACTCAGGGCTCCCCTTCCTCCAGGGGCCGCCAGTCCTGAGAGCAGGATGCCAGGGTCCAGGCCTTTTTCAGGGGGCTGTTGGGCAGCTTTGTGGCCTTTCCTGTTCCTGCCGTGTCTCCACTGGGGGCCTGGAAGAGGGCATTTGCATGCTCATGTTCATGCACTTCCGGTCATTGCCCCCATCTGGGAACCACAGTCCTAGGCCCTCGTGTCCCTGTCTCCCACAGAAGGCAACTGTGGTGCTGGGGCCTGTGGTTGTGTGTGACCTCAAGTGGGCTGTGTGTGTTACCTCTCTGAGACTGATGGCTTGATACAGGGAAGCGGGTCACCGGTGGAGAGGTCACTGGGAGTTCTGCTGTGCTGTGGGGTGGGGACCGTGGCTTAGCCAGAGATCTCAGCATCCCCTCTGCCTGATGCATCTAGGAGTAGGTGATGCCCTAGGAGGCTCACCAGTGTGGCTGCGTCCTCTCTGCCTTTTGACAGTGACTGCTAGGTATTCCTGCAGCCTCCTACCACTTGTGGGTCTGCTTATCATGCAGGTGGGGTCCGAAGGCCAAGAGTGCCTCCCAGGGTACTGATGGTCGCACAGAGGCCCAGCTGCTGCCCTGTCTGCTTCCTTTCAACTTGGCGAGGTGGGGAGGTGCCCAGAGGAGGAGACCATAGCACTCATTCCCTCTCTCACAGGGACAGGGCACCCCTAGAAGGCCTGGGTTCTTTGGCTGCTGGTCCCTCTACTTTTTCTTCTTCCAAAGTGCTGAGTTTTCTGGGAAGAGCTGGGCTTTGACATTGGTTCCATGGCAGCACTGAGTCTGTGTTCCAGGGCAAGATGCTTTGTGCTCCCTGCTCAGCTGCCAGGGCTTTGGCTTAGTTGGCAAGAGAGATGGGTGCTGGCAGTCTGTGTGGCCTGTGCCCTGGACTCAGGTCCCCCACCTGCCCCCAGGTGTGTGTGGTCCGGTAGACAGTGAGCAGCTTAAGCTGCCGCCCCAGCGGGGGGACATGGAGGTCAGGCCCTGCAGTACATGGTCTGTTGGAAGCAGGTGCCTTTGGGGTTGTCCTGAGAGGCCCTGATGTCCCAAGGTAGCTGGGTGAGCTGAATTCAGGGCCAGGTAGCTGCATGACACAGAGCATGGCAGTGTTGTCCTTCAGAGCCCTGCCTGAGATCCCGAACCGCCGCCCAGTTCATTTGCTGTGCTGTACCTGAGCTGGTGTTTTCCTGGCCCTGAGACTGGGCAGAGCCTCAGAGGACAGGTAGATTCTTCCTGTAGTACTGGCTCCGGGACTCTGAGATGACAACGTGTCTGTCTGTGACCATGAGCCCTGCTCCACACCTGGTGTCCAGGCAATTGAGCTCTGCATGGTTACTTTCCTTGCATCAGGCACAGCCGAATAGCCAAAGCAGAGGCCCCAGTGACCTAAATATGGCCATGGCACATCAGACAGGCCAGGTCAGGGGACTGTAGACCAGCGCTGTGGGAGGGGGACATGTCA